GTTGTCCCAGAATTAGAGTCACACCATATTTATTTCTTGTATCCTTACAAAATTGCCCTTAAATAAATTGTTGGAGGGTAATTTGAATATGTTTGTAGGCCCACGAAAAGAGTTCCTAATTTTTTTTTTTTTTTTGTGTTTTTACCAGATTGAATTGTCCATTCTCTATATTTTGAAAAGCATATATGCTAATCTATATTTGTTCTAGTGTTCCCGTGATTCAAAAAGCAAGAGAACAAATAATCACAATAAACAGAGGAAAGCAACCAAGTTGATCCATTTACTAGAACGATTGATTACATATAATTAATGCCTTACTGCAATTATTCGTTCCAATCATTGAGTGCCATACTTAGCTGCATATAAAGAAATTTGATTGTTTTTTTTTAATGATGAAAATTTCGGTCGAGCGTAACACGTGCAGCCCATTTGTTAAATTTACTTTTAACAAACAAGTGGTCCCATGTGACACATGCAGTCCCCGTTTTTAAAATTTTTTTTTCAACAACTGGGCCACATGTAATTTTGCAAAAGAGCCCCTCATGGAGGGGCTGTTTTATAAAATAGGGAGCCACATTTAGTTTCAAGAATTTAAAATATTAACATTTCGGCACTTCTAGCAGTGTATTTAAAATCGAATAAGTTCAATCGATTTGACCATAATTCGATTGAATGCCAAACTCGGAGTCGAATAAAAAATTGGTCAAAGTCGGTCAAATTACCAAAGAACCGCATAATTCAATCCGATAGGATTTTTTATTTTATGTTATCGTATTGGGCTTTGCCAAGACTTTGGGCTACTAATGTTGTCATTTTTTGGGAACATTTCCTGGGACCCAAGACTATGGGCTACTATTGTCATTTTTTGGGCCACTACAACAGGTCTTGGGAATCAAGACTTTGGGCTACTACTGTTGTCATTTTTGGGGCCACTACAACATCTCTTAGGCTAGTAATGATTTGAGCTCTGCTTGTATTGATCTTTTGTGTCTGTTCAATGGGCTAAATGTCCAGAATCAGCCAATTAAAAGGACTTACAACCATAGTCTCCCCCCCCCCAACTCTTCCCCAATCTCCATTTCCACCACTGCCACCCTTTATTTTCCTGTACTTCGAACACTCTTAAGGCCTCCTTCTCTACTCACTATTCAAACCGCCCTTCACTATTGCTCACAATCCTGTAATTCCTCTTTCTTCTATTTCTTTATTTTACATTTTAAATGATAAATTTCAGAAAGATGTAGATTTGAAAATATCTAAGCATAAAGCTCCTACTAGTGGTAATGCAGATCACGATGGACCATAAAATGATTATCATCGGTATTTAACATTTAGATGTTCGGTTGTATTCCATTTTTTTGGTAGTACCTTAATTTGTTTTGTTCTTAAATTCAAAATATTATTCGCCTTTATAGTGCTATATTTGAGACATTGGATGAATTTTTTGTGGTTGATATGAAGGACTTTTCTTATTTTAGTGTATGAACCACATTTTCTAGATTTTTTATAATGGTAATTTTGTTTTTCTGGGTTTTGTCAAAATCAAACCAATCAGTAAAGAAAGAAAAGGAAAAAGGAAAAAAAAAATACAGGAGAAGCATAAAAAGTTGAAAGAAAAGCATAACAAAGTCGCCGTTCAAATGATGCAGCGAGAAAAAGAGCTTCTATTACCATTTTTAAGTTTAATATTTTAATAATTAAAGGATCGGTGATCCGACCAGTTGAACCGATAAATTAAGAATTGGACTTTCAGCCAATCCTGTCGTTAGTACAGAGTTTAAAACATTGCTTCTACATTGAGAAAAGACCCATCATTTTCCTTAGGTTGCCGATTTCTTTTTTTAGCAATATTCTGATAAGTTACCCATAATTTGCGAGATGCAGGGAATAGTTGTTTGTAGCAACCATCCAAAATAGGGTAACATTTTTTAAATAAATTATAACTATATCTTAACTGTTTGTACATGTTTGCAACAAGAGTATAATAAATTGTAACGTACTGTTCAAGTGCATTTCATGTATAACAATTATATGTCTGTTATGAATTTTTGCAGGTGATTTACATAGAATTATAAAATATTTAAAAAACATTACGTTCTGAATAGTTGTCACTAACACCCATCTGTGCCCCGAATCCTTGTTTGAGGAAGTCACTAGAATATCTAGTCAGAGATGAAGTCCTTGAAAGTTGACACGTTTTCAACAAAAATTTTGTAGGTCATCAAGTCCGTGCATTTCATTTACAGGAGCCTGAATTCCATATCACTACGTGGAGCTTGAGGCTCTAAAAATTTCATGGCCTTGATGAAAAAACAAGATGTGTCCACCGGACAATATGTGAGAATTTATTTTATTAATATTATTCCGAAAAATTCACCGTATCAACTCATGACCAATTTGTACCGTTAAATTTAAGCATAAAAAGAAAAATGGTATTTTAAACAAGGTAATTTCTGTAGTGTATTCACAAAGTTCGAAGACAGGTGTGGAAAGCAAATAATATGGCAAAGAAGCCTCCACGTTTCAACCTGACAAGTACGGACGACGAAAGGGAATAATTCTAGAAAAGGAAGTGATGACCTATAACCGCGGTTTGGACATTGGAAATGTAGCGTACTGCACAAGCTGGAAATGCATTGGGGTGAAACGGAATTAACATAAATATAATGGGCTAAGGAGTAAAAATAAACCCGTTAACTTTATTAAAACAACCCCAATTTTCAACTCTTTCGTCCATAATAACAACGGAGTACCCATTTTCCTTGAATACAAATGTTAGTGATCGTACAATATCATATTCAAATGCATTTTTGAATAAAGAGCCAACTCTTGATGGCTTTCCTGCACTACAACTAAAGATTAAATCCATTTTGAGGACCATTATTATATTCAAACGGGTGTCTCAGTTTAAAAGTTTCAGCTCCCCTTGGCTTTCTTCCATTACAACAACATAATACCCAAGGTGCCATAAAGACAGACTGATTTATCGGATAAAATGAAATTAAACCCGTTGGTGAGTGAAAGACCAGCTCTTTGTGCCTTTCAACCATTACAGTGACAGAGTACTCAACGTGCCTTAAATACAAATGTTGGGTTATGGGATAAATTTTAGTTAAAACGGTTGTTTTATAAACGACCAACTCTTTACGACTTTCGTCCATCAGACAGTCAGGAAAACCCAATTTCCTTGAATACAAAATTATTTATCGGAAAGCATAAAAATTAACACACCGGTGTCGGTTCTGTTATATAAAATATCGAAGACGAAGCGTAAGCAGTACTAAACAAAGCCATGCTGGGGCCACCGAAGAGGAAGCGTATTAGGTACTAAACACACAGCCATGTTGGGGCCCGCAGTGATGCGTGTGTTTGAAGACAGGTGGTGAGGTCGGAATCGAAGGCAAAAATTTGGTAAAGAAGAAGTCAAGGCGGAATAGACAGAGGTGGTGTCTACTGGCGTAAATTCAGGCGCAAGCGGTGACGGTAGATATATCTGAGGAAGGCCCTTCCGAAACTGTGGTGACAGAATGTAACGGCGTGGAACAAAAGCAGAGAAATCAAAGGTGAGTACTTTTGTCCATAACTTTGAAAAATGGAGTAAAATAACGAGTAAAACACCTGTACGTCTAGTAGGGTGATTTCTACAGTTCTTGTAAGAGGCAATGATAGAGAAATAAGGAATACGAAATACGGGGTGTAAGACCCTGTGTCTTCGAACAAAGATGAAACGAAATCGGGAAATTATCACAGTTTATTTGTGCACCGAGCTTTGTGTACGTACGTAGGAAATGTTGGTCCTCTAATTTGTATTAAATTGTATAAAGGAAATTAAGCAGAAATGAGTGAAGACGTGAAGAAGACGTTGTAACAGGACTAAAGTTTTAAAACAGAGTGATTTGGATTGCTGTGTGGACATCGATAATGGCCCCCATACTGCATTGCGAATGCTTATGTGAAAAGAATTAAAGAAACACACAGTACAGGTTGAGTTTGTGGGTGTTAATGAAAATGCATGTCGATAATGGTATTTTGTGTTAAAGGTTGATATAATTGCATTAGCCACACTTATAAAAACTGTGTATATGAATGTTAGAGTAATGTTTATCGTCTGCATTTTGTGAAAGTTGTGAGGTAAAGTATGGTTTGTTAACTGAAATGATCGTGTATATATGTTTTGTTCCATTAGTAGACGATCAGTATTTATGTTACAAACGAAAGCATATGGGGAGGCTGAAAAAAAATGTTAAGCGACCATGGTTAGAAAAAACATTGAACAACCACACAGGGGTTGTAACTATAGGGCAGGATGTGGCTCTTAAAACTCATGACATGGTGCAGGAAACAGATAACGGAAAAATGGGAATGGATGGTTGCGACAGGTTAAGGTCATTTGACCTTAACCAAGAACCTGAGTGTGACCGAGACACATTCATTGAAGAAAATGGTGGTTCAATAGGAGGACACGAAGATGAGGAGGCAGATGAATTGGTGGGCGCAATAGGCGTGGATGACGTAATGAAATTAACTTTTGACACGGAAGAAGAAGTTAGGGAATTCTATAATTTGTATGCGAAACTAAGTAGATTTGGGATTCATAAAAGTAATGCCAAACAAGATGCAGATGGCATTTCAAGATTTAGAAAATGGGTATGTTGCTGTGAAGATTATAGGAATGAAAAGTGGTTTAATTATAAAGACCGGAAAAGAGAAGCAAAACCAATCACAAGAACCGGGTGTGGGGCTTGCTTTCGCATGAAATATGATATAGAATCGGTAAAATATGTGGTGACACATTTCATTATGGAGCACAATCACCTGCTGGCATCAGAGGCAAGTGTGCAACACATTAGGTCGCATAGAAAAGTGAGCGATGCAGAATATGCGCAGGCAAAAAGTCTAAAGTTGGTTGGGGCCAAAATATGCCAGAAAATGAAACATTTTGTTATCAAAGCCGGAAGGTATAGTAACGTGGGATTTTGCATTAAGGATCTGTTAACCGAATGGACGAGGAACGTAGAAAAAATATTTTTAATGGTGATGCAGAATGGGCACTTGGGTTCTTGGCAGCGAAGAAGGATGTCGATGACATGTTCTTTTATAAATATCATGTAGATAACGAAGGAAGATTGGCAAGGTTGTTTTGGGCAGATTCTAAATCTTGTGCGGACTTCAGTATATTTGGAGATGTATTAGTGTTTGATACAACGTACAAAACAAATAAATACCACAAGCCACTAGTTGTACTTGCAGGGGTAGATAACCATTTGAACAGTACTATTTTTTGCTGTGCACTGCTATCAGATGAGAGGATTGAAACATATGAATGGGTGCTAAATACATTTGTAGAGGCTATGAAAGGTAGAAAGCCAGTAGCAGTGATGACAGATGGGGACAGTGCAATGCGAAGAGCCATAAAGAATCTTCTCCCGGATGCTTGTCACAGGCTATGTTCGTGGCACTTGCATAGAAATGCACGGAGTAATATTCGGTGCGAGGAGTTTAATAACAGGTTGTATAACCTGATGGCGAGAAAGTGTAGCACTCTTGAGTTTGAGAATCGGTGGGTTAGGTTAGTTAATGAATGTGGGGTAGTAGAGAATGAGTGGGTGAAGAAGTTGTACCGTAGGAAAAGGTTATGGGCAGAGGCATATTTACGCGGTCATTTTTTCGCAGGTATGAGAAGTACTCAAAGGTGTGAGAAAATGAATGCTCTTTTAAATGAGTACTTGAATGAAAAAATGCGACTATATGAATTCGTTAGAAGTTTTGATTTGGCAATAGCATGGCTTCAACATACTGAGAGCAAAGCAGTTCACAAAAGCGAAAACACAAAACCAGTCTTAACCACAATCCTATCCGAATTAGAGGGGAGCGCAGCGGAGATGTTTACAAGGAATGTGTTCTTCATGGTGAGGAAGCATTTGAACAGGCAAGGACTTCTAATTTCTGAGGGCTGGAGCGAGGAGGGAGGGAGTCGTACATATTATTACTCGAAATATGGTGGACACGAAATAAGTTGGAGGGTGGATTATGATAGGTCAATGGAGAAACTAATCTGCTCTTGCATGAAATTCGAGTCAAAGGGGATTCCTTGTGCTCACATGTTTCGCGTGATGGTGGTAGAAGGAATGAACAGGATCCCAGAAGCATGCATTTCGAAGCGGTGGACAAAGGGAGTTTACTGTACTAATAATGGAATGAAAGCATTTGTTGCAGACGAACAGTTGACACAAATGGCCTGATATGGCACTTTAAAGTCCAGTTGTAATACTATGTGTTACTATGCCTCCTACATGGATGATGCGTTTAATGACCTGCAGCAGATGTTTGACAAGCATTCTGTGGACCTAAAGGAGAAGTGGATTGACAGGGGATATGGGGGAGATGGATTTGCAATGGATTCAAGAGTGAGAAACGATAGAAGTAGAAGAACATTCGGGCTGTTAGATCCCAGGGTGTCCCGGTCTAAAGGTAATCACAAGCATGCAGAAGCAAAGAAGAAAAGAAAGTGTGGTCATTGCAGGTACTATCGGAATTGCATACGCAGTTATACAGTAGTTAATTGATAAAATACATGAAGTAGACAGGGAAGGTAATAATGAAGAAGTGGGTATTTTTCGTTCTTATTATCAACAGTAGCAAATAAACACATAATTAAAAGTGCATACAAATTATACAAAGTTATTGGCAATGCAAGAAAGTTGAAGTGGTGTAATGTTAGCATTGTGCTTAGTTGACGTGATTACTTGCAGTCACAAATGATTTGACATGTGATATATGGGTTGAAGATTGCAGGCAGGCCACAACCAACGAACATGCTCATACAAAAAGAATTCGCACAACACAGCAGTTCATGATGATTATATAGAAAATTGTTTGGATGACTCGCTGGAAAAATCATTTGAAATTGGTACGGGCTAGAGCGACTCTGGCGAATGGAGAGGACAAGCATTTGTACCATAACCATTCGGTAACGGTGGAAGGGACACAGGTGGCCAACAAAGAAGTCTAGGAGAAAGATGAGACACTACTGTTGTGATGCTTCGGTTTGCAGTTACACAATAAATAAGGCAGGTTTTGGTGAGTAGAGGTGCAAGAGTAGTCTTTCGATGAAACAAGTACGGAATTGTATAAGGGGAACGGTTTGTATCTTTCCTTCGCATTAATTTGTTTTGAGCATGAGAAGGCTACAAGGTATTCCTGAATGCGGGGAATGCTGGGTACATGTTGTGGTGGTGTTTTAAAAAATTTTATCCCGTTACCATTGAAGTGTAAATAATGTAAGTTTGAATGTGTCATGGGCCATTGTAAGCTGTTATGACCACAGCCACTCAAAGGTAGTAAACAGTCATTGTACTGATGCAGTACCTGTCGGTAAATGGCTTTGTTGTTCTTATTTCACTGCTGTTGCGTGTGTAAATCCTATTATATATTCTTTTAGGTGTGAAATGTAGAGGTTGAAAGAGATGGTATGGTTGTGAATGGAAGTAGACGAAGCACAGGTTACAGAGCAACACCGGCTTGAGGGATTGTCTTTTGTTATGTATCGGTAGGGTGAAGAGTATTCAAGGTTGCTAGGTCTAGATGGGTAAGTCATTGGAGTTCCACCGAAGGGGTGATGCACAGAAGGATCACCAGTGCATGACTGTCATGATTGCGTCGTAAGCACTGCTGTAGCAAATAGTGCTACTGCACTTGGTTAATAGGAGAGTAAGTAGTTGACAAATTGTTTATTAGACGAACCAAACTTGTTACGGTCCTTTTTTGTAAATAGGAAATTAAGTGGAAGCGTATGTTGCGCAAAATCTCTTCGTGGGATAGACGTTTTTCGAAGTGGCTACTTGGGAATCAGCTTCAGTTGCCCAACTTTTGTAAACTGGTGCCTTACGCTGCTGCTATAAACTGCTTTTACGATATGGGCTGTTTGTTCCTCTCCTTGCTATCCTAACTAATGACCGTAAGGCCCAACGCCTTTTCTTTTGCCCATCGTTCCATTCAGGTGTAGGAACAGTAACTTCTGTTTCTCCCCATCTATTTTCATTGCTCACAATGCTTATGCGTCTCTTCAGTGCACCAATAACAATAGTATTATTAGTTATATGTATTATATATGTATATTAATTTATGTAATATAATTAATATTATGAATTATACTAATAATTATACATATTTACTAATAGAAATTATTAATTAGTTCGAGTTACTTTATTAATACATTTGTACTAATATATTTAATTAGCCAATAACTATCAATTACGATATGGTTTGTAATATATTTATTAGGGATAATTTAAGAAACCTCCCCTGAGGTTTCTGACAATTTCACTGGCACCCCTTGAGGTTCTCAAAATTTGACTGACCTCCCTTGCCTTTGAGTTATTGGGTCCCTTAACTGACATCATGAAGGCCAAAATTACAAATATATGGTATGAAGTTGGGATTTATTACTGATGTTTGGGTTTATTATTACCGTTTAGTTGGAGAAAAAGGCATCTACAGTGATTAATGAAGCCTAACAACAATAACACAAATTTAGAGAGTAATACATGAAGTAAAGCTGGAATAGGAAGTAAGGCAACATTTTTTGTGCCATTATTGTGGCTGCTGTTTCAGTTAGAAATGTTTTTAAGTAAAATTCAAAAAATGGTACAGTAATTTCTTATGAAAAAAAAAGTAGTAGGTTATCTACGTAATATAAATAAAAAATAGTTTAAAAAGGAAATATCCCATAAAGTACCAACTCTTTATGACTTTCCTGTATTACATGAATGAAGTACCACGTTTTGTATGAACATTTTATTATAAATCATTTAATTTACTTTAAATACATAAATATTTGCAAATAAAATTCATAAGCCGTTACAGAAACATCTTTACGAAAGAAAAACTAGCATTTTTTGAATTATTTAATATAAATGAAATATTTTAAAGTAAACAAAAAAAATTGTCCATAATATACCAGTTCTTTACGAGTTTCTTCCATTATATGAATTAAGTACTAGCTATTTAAGAGTACTTGACTTTGAAGTAGAAGCGCAACTTTGAAATACGCTATTTTAATTTTAGTAAATTTGTTTATGTATGAAAAATTGGTTAACTATCGCAGTGAATTCAAACCCTGCTTATGTATCGAATAAAAAAAGTACTCCAGGTCTGCACTAAAACACCAGCTCTTTATGCCTTTTCTCCATAAATTATCCGTTTTCCCATTTTTCCATAAGCTAATTCAGGGGATGTTTCTGAAATTATCCCTTACAATATATATGTGTATGTAAGATTAATAATTTATATAATAATAAATATGTTTATTATTATGCACATAAGGTTGCTAAATGATTAAATTTAATATCTTATATATGTTATAACTGTGTAAAATATTAGTTAATTAGTATTTATATATATTATGTAATTATAGATAGATATTTGTAATTTCTTTGAGGGGGTTTACTCTCGGAAAAATGTGCAGTAGGAGTTTAGTCTTGAAAATTTACAGAGGAAGTTGTTGAAGTGAAAGAAAAAGGGAAATGTGTCTTGTGCCCAAAGTAACGAAACAGAGGTGAACACGATTAATTTTTTTTACAGCATTTGTACATTTCCATTGGAGTACAATATTTCACGTAACTTGTTTGCACACGATTAATGAATTTCTTATTAATTATAACAATTATGCAATGTCCGCGTCATGTACGTAATCTAAATGCCTATGAACTATAGAAAAAATTCCACATGTTTACTGACACTCCATCCGAACAACTTTGATACACCAGTTTTTTTTGGTGACATAGTTTAACAAAAATTGGTATACCTTGTGGGAACAATCCACTTAGGTAGCAATGCTTCGTCAGCCTCCCTCACACTAATTACTGTACAACTGTGTGGAAACTTGAACTCATATTCTTGTGTTGGAGTTGCATTCATACAAAAGGGTTTTCTGTCATGATATAAATAAATTCGAAAAATGTAATGCATTAAATGTGATAGATTTATAGTAGCAACAACTTCCATTTAAATTATTTTGTTGTAATATTTAATTTCACTGCAAACTTCAATTGCAGGTGAAGAACAATTTGGGACAGACGAAAAATAAGAACAGGACTATGAATTAGTTGTGAGAAATTTACAGTGACAAATTTTCTCTCAAAGCAGTTAAACGGTACAAATTTAGACAAACAAGTTCAACGTTACCAATTATCTGTCAACTGTTAACATTTTCCGTGTTCAAGTTTAAAATTGTATTAGAATTACACAACACACATGGCGATTGCTCACAGCTTGGCTTTGTTGGTGGGGACTCCCGACTAGTTTGCATACTCATTCCTCTGGCTACACAACCTTGTTTGCGGTTATGGGCCATGGGTGCTCAGTCTTTGGCATTATGAATTCCCTGACATTCCTACGCTTTGCCTCTACCAAGCTCATCCGTAAATGTCTGCGTCCCGGCACTTGTGTTCGGACGCTTAGAAACACAGGATTCCCGGCCACCAATTCCACCGCGAAGGCAGCGTTTCCCTATCCCCTTTTGGAGCTTCAATGCAGTTTCCAAAATTACCTGTATTTGATGTAACCTTTGGTCCACCACTTGTGAGTTGTCCGACACATTGGATGCCAAACGAAATATTTCTGCACTTTTTTCTAAGACTTTCTTTCTCAGGCCCATGCACTGAACAAGCAGGTCCTCGTACCAGTGTTTAGGCACCTAAGCGGAAACAACACAGATGGCTGCATTAATTTTAGAAGTACAGGGCGAAGAATGCCATACCACATCACCAACAGCACATGGAAGAGGCAACCCTATTACATCGCCACCAACTCCGTGAATGCCCTCTTCCTCCAGTGATCCATCAGTTTGTATGCACAACACAGACCAGGGAGGGTAATTAATTGGATGTTTCAGTGACGGTGTTGTAGCCTCACTTAGTGGCAACTGGTCACATATATGAATTACGCACTCCTTTCCACTGGGTGGTAACGTGGAGGAAGTCATTGGTTTCATTAGCCTGCTGCGCACAAACTCGTCATACGTAGCATATGGAGGGGGATCTGGGTATAGGCTTGCAATGGGCAGTCCATGAAGCACATCATGTAGCCTGTTTCCCGAAATTGTATCAGTGATGTACATATCTGATGGCCGATGGGGAGGTTACTTTGCACATATACCTGCATATACCTGCCTAATAACCCTCTCGCCCAAGTAGTAAAATCTTCCCATGGGGCCATCCAAAAGCAATCTCGTTGCAGTTAG